ATAATAAAATATCATCCAATTAAATTTATAATATGAATTAATCAATAAAATAAGAACTAAATATTCATATCATAACAATATATATTAATTTTACTATAATTACTATATAATTAAATCTTTTTATAATCATTATCTTTGAAAAAGTAAAATAAGTGACTATAAAAAGAATATAAGCATAAAGAGATTTTTTACTATATTTATATATAATAAAAGCAAAATAGGATAATTATAGAGTGAGTGTGACTATAAATATATATAATTATAAAGAAATTTGACTGTGCTATTTTTGTTATAATTATTAGTTTTATTTAATTATCTATAAATATTTGTAAATAATATTTTATTAAGCTAATATTTAATAAAATATAAATAAATAATTATTCAATAATATTATAATATAAATTATTCAATAAAATATAAGATATTTAATAAAAATAACATGATAACTATTGCAATATGATGATAAATAAAGCATTACCTAATTGCAACTAGTTACAACTTATAAAATTTTGGAGTTGTAACATGTTGCAATAGGTAACAAATAAGTATCACATATTTGTTGCGCCATCTCTAATATTTAATATAATAAAAATTTATATTATAATAATATTAAGTTGGCTAATTTTAAAATTTATTATAAAAAGCATATTATAGTTATTACTAAAGAAAAAGAACTGAAAATTCAATTTATATTAAATATTAACAAATAAATTCAATTAGTTTAAATAATTTTATAAAAATTACTAGTTTTAAAAATAATTTTTTTCTTACAAATTACTAATTAAACTTGCTTATAATAATATTTTAATATAAATTATTTATAAATTATTAATTAAACTTATTTATAATATAGTTCAATGCAAAAAAATTATATTTTAAATAAAAATTAATAATTACTTCTAATAAAAATCATTTAGAATTTAACTAATTTTTATAAGTTTTTTACATTAAATAAAAATAATCTAAACTAATTATTTATATTATTTTTATTTAAGAATAAATAATACAATATTTTTCTTAAAAAACAAAATAAAAAATATATTTTAAGTATTATTTTTATCAATTTGTTATATTAAAACTTTAAATTATACAAGCATATTGCTATAGATTTGATAAAATATATTTTAAATTTCATAAAGATTGAATAAGTAGTTATTATAAAATTAAGTCTTAAAGTTTAACAATTAAATTATTTACTATATATGTTTAATATTAACTTTAATCAAATTTTATATAGTAAAATTTATAAGATAAAAATTCAAAAAAGTTATTACTAGTAAAAATTTTTTTTATGAAATATATATAATTAAAATATATATATTAAAATAAATTCTAATATCTAATAACTTAATTAAATGAAACAGAATTAAAATTTTATTTTAAAAAAATAATTATTTGAGATATGAATCTTTTTGCACTGAATCATAATATTTTAGGAAACTTTATTTATTATAATTAAGCAATTTGATCTTCTAGAATTAATAATTTTTAAAATTATTGGAACTAATTTAAAATTAATTAATAATTTTATTATTAATAATAACTATAAATATCAATTAACAAATAATATAAAACTTATTTGATTAAAATTAATTTAATAATAATTATATTTACCAAATGAATTTAAGTATTATATAAAGTAATCACAAGTTAACAAGACAATATAATTATATTATTAGCAAGTTGTTATTTGTTCAAAAAAACCAATAATATTAGCAAGCACTCAAATTTGTATATTTTAACAATAAACAATAACAAAAAGAATAATAATTGTTGTCAAATACAAAGTTTAAATGAAAAGAAAGAATATTATATTATTATTTTTTAAAAAAAGCAAGAGATTAAAATTAAAAGATAAAAATTACTAGTTAGCATTGTCACGTTACTATATTCAGTAACCAGAAGTTACTGGACTGGATCATATTAGACTTGAAGTCCAGTGGTCCAGTAACGCAATATTGAACTAGTGTATAATAAATTGAGATTACGCATAACTCGATCTATATCACGTGATTCGCGACAAAAATCATGTAACAGTACGCAACACACATTTACTCGAAAAACAAAATTGGGTATGACTAAGGTGATAGTGATTATAGAGAAGTTAATTGTGAGGTGCGACTGTATTTGTAATTATCTCTACAAATATACGTACGAAGTTTGATCTCGAATCATACAAGTTTTCCATAGAGAAAATTGTTTATAACAGTTTCGCGATCAGTCACTGCTAAATTGGCTTTCTGAATGATCCGTATATTTAATCAAACTATGTCAATACGAAACCTGTAACATCAATAAAAAATATCATTGAACAAGAAATGAATTTCTAAAACCTGGAGCTCCACGTTACATATCATTGTTCCATTGTTAGCAATTTTTGTCGTTTGGTATTACGAAATATATGACCACGCCACGATTGCAAAGTTATTTCAATTAGTGTAACATGGCGATAGACAAAATTACGTAGCTTGACATCACTTTAAATTTATTATAGGATGATGGAGTTTACGCATGTATATAGAAATAATGCAACTGTATTTTCATTGTTTAATACGTGTACCTTCTGATCATTCTCTTGGAATATAGAATATTAATAGCAAACATCTGACCAAGAAATTACAGAGATCCTACAATAAGGATGGGATGGATCTAACCAATAGGATTATACGGAATAATAACGATAACGATAATGTGCCATATGCAGCTTATTTGCTTCGAATGTTTAAAATTCAGTTTTCGCGATAGTTGTTCAAAAGGCTGAATGATAAATGTAATAACAGAAATAAAATTATTCATTTTTATTAGTCAAGTCCATGATTAAATCCCGTTTCTAAAAAAAAACCCCCCCAACCAACCAATCAAACTAGGATTAGACATTGCATGAGCAACAACTAATTGAAACTTTCGCTACACAATTTGTTTGTTTTACTTTCTTACCTTTCTACTATCATACGTAAACAATAATAATAATAATAAATTAAAAAATAAATAGCACGGCATTTTTCAATTTAGTAACTACACGCATAATAATAATAACAACGACAACAACAACAAGCAACTCTATCGTGAAATATATAATATATATATATATTTGATTTGATTTGAAACTTTTGATGCAAAGAAATTATACTTTACTGTTTCTTTTGATCAAGCCTGGTGGACAAGTTTTCGTACCGCCACCATCATACTCTTTTTCCTTGCCTTGTATATCTATATCAAGTAGTAGTCTACGATAGCAAGCAGTAGTTTGTTGACCGAACAAAGAGGGATCATCGACAAAAATGTCTTTTCTTAAATATTTCACGGCAAGTCTTTTTTCTTGGTTTAGTCCCTGCGATTCAATCCCTTTGAAACCGGCTTAACATGGATAATTCTTTGTATTTACTCAACGGTCGTTTTTTCTTTGTTATTATAGGATAGACCTGGTAAACCACCAAGTAATGAGCCTTTGAACAACTCTGAAAAATATTTCGGATTAGAAAATGTAAGCCAAAATAATTTTTCGCATCACCTCAACAATAAGAACTCCTTGAGTAGTGTAGGAAAATAACACAGCTAGACTATCGCTATAATTGTTTATCTTTGACTCTTGTTTGAAACACCATCGGATTTTGTATGAGAAGCTCGAGTGAATTTAATTCAGTGCCTTTAGGATTAGTGTGCGGTATGGTGTGGTGGGAGAGGCGGGTGGAAAATATTCCTTGGATGAATTTCCATGTTGATTAAATAAATTCAACGATTCTAATACTTGTTTTATGATTTATTGAATTTAGTTTGGAAATACTTGGTAGGCTTTTTCTAGATTTTGGATTTGCAAAAATATTTTCGCCCGGTTTTAATTTTCACGAATTCTTGAAAAAATTCAGTTATTGTAATTCTATTCTACAAGCACTTTATTTTTGTAAGCCATTTCGAGAATGTGTTGTCAATTTTCCGGACGGACCTATGCCATTACACGTATCATCTCCACTTTCACCGACTACAAATACGCCATCGACCAATGGTATCATTTCAAAAAAAGAAAATATAAAAGGTAGAAAAAGAGGAAAAAAAGTATCCCAGAAAAAGAATCATGCACCAAAACAAGTTATTCTAATCAATTCTATAATGATGGGAAAAAAAAATAAAAAAATAAAAAATATAGCAAACGGGGAAAATTCAGCTTCCTCGTCACAGGGAATAGAGGACACGCTATTCGGAGCATTGAAAGATCTTTTCACAAAAATTAGTAGTCAAAAGAAAAAAACCGGCGTCGTGGCACCATTTCAATTCATCACAAAACTAAAAAAAGAGAATGGTAATTATTCTCTCATAATTTGATCATGTTTTATATATACAAAAAATCGGATTGTTTTAATGATCAGATTCAAATACTATTTCTATCGTACATTTCACATATTAGGGATCTTTAGTTCAACCATGCATCAGGACGCCCACGAATTTTTGAATTATTTGTTAAATTCGATTGCAGAAACCGTGTTGGCGCAGCAAAAGAAAATGGAAGAAGCGGAAAGACAGCAGGCTGAGATGAATGAAAAATCAAAATCTTCTGTTGAAGAAGGTGAATTTTTTTTTAAATTAGATTATTTGGAGATTATTTATATAATACATTTATATTTTCTTTTGTTAGCAGAAGCAAGCTCAACGGGTGGTTCTGTTCAGACGTTATCCAGCTCATCAAATTCGGCTACAACATGGGTTCATCAACTTTTTGAAGGTATCACGACCAACGAAACAAAGTGTCTCACATGTGAAACTGTAAGTTACATTTTTTACTCAACTTCTCTGTTTATATTGGTTCTTTGTCAAAAAAAAAAATTAATTCCAAATGATCTCAGGTCACGAATAAAGATGAATCTTTTCTCGATCTTTCTATTGATATCGAACAAAATTCTTCGGTTACATCATGTTTACGCCAATTTTCTGCGAGCGAAATGCTATGTCACAAAAATAAATTCTTTTGTGATGTATGTTGCGGGTTGCAAGAAGCCGAAAAACGGTAATCATGTACTTAAAAATATTATTGACAAATCCAACAAAAGCTTATACAAATACTTTTCTTCGCAGGATGAAGATCAAAAAGCTACCTAATGTGCTTGCTTTGCATTTGAAGCGTTTTAAATACCAAGAGAAACTCCAAAAATACATAAAACTTTCATACCGAGTTGTTTTCCCTACTGAACTACGACTATTTAATACTGTATGAATATTATAGATGTTTGCTTTCCTAATTGTCATATAATAATTAACATTTTTTCTTTTAGTGTGAAGATATCGAGGATCCTGATAGACTGTACGAGCTTTATGCTATTTGTGTGCATATTGGAAAGTAAGCAAAAAAAATTTCTTAATTACTTTTTTTAATTCACCCACCTTTAACTAAACGATGTATCGGATTTGCAGTGGACCTTATCACGGACATTATATCACATTAATAAAAAGTTTAGGGCAATGGTTATTATTTGATGATAATAATGTCGAGGTAACCAATAAATAATGATTCATTTTTCAATAGTTCATTTAGTTATTTTTTTATTAAATTATAATAAATTTTTTAGCCTGTCGAGGAATCCGAGATTCAAAAATATTTTGGAGATTTTCAAAGTGGTTCAGGATATGTGCTATTTTACCAGGCATGCGACCTAAATTTGAACACATTAGGGCTAACAACAAATACGGTTTGGCCTCAAAGTGTAGGTTCAAGTGGGTCATCAGCAGAGTTTGAAGTTTCATCAGAATCAAATGAAGCTCAAGCAATAATATCACCACCATCGACTACTACGGTCATAAATAGTAATATAACGGACACTGATAGTATTCATTCATCTACCACAACCATCACAACCACAATAGCAACAAATACGACGACAACGACGACGAGTAGTAATTATAGTAATGGTACCGAAGAACAATATTTGCTAGCAACGATAAAAGAAAACACCACCACCACTTTATTTCTACCTTCAGGAATATTAAGTCGTCGGAAGAAAGATCACAATACTCCGGATAAGCGTAAATCAAATGGAAATCATGAACTTTCTTCAAAGGACAATGAAACAACAACTCAGAGTGATAATAATAATCATAATTCTGAAAAGCCATCATCATCATCATCAAATGAAAGAGAGAAAGAGAGGACCACAACACTTTGGTCACGTACTAGATCTTTACGAGATAAAGGAAACAAGGACAAAGATAAAGAGAAAGATAAGGAAAAGGATAAGGATAAGGAGAAGGACAAGGACAAGGAAAAAGAGAAGGAGAAGGAGGAGAAGAAAGAAAAAGAGAAGGAAGATAATAAAGAGCACAAAAAATATTCTTCGTCACCTCTAGAATCATTTTTCGCCTTCACTGAGAATGGGTCAAGTAGTAGTAAAAAAGATAAGAAAGCAGCAGAAAAAGAAGCCAAAAAGCTTGAAAAGAAAACCAAAAATTCCGAGAAGCCAAAATTAACAATACCCATAAATGGGCTACACGAAAAAGCAGTGTCAATGTAAAGCTCATATACTTTTGATTGCTACTGCTACAATTATTACTTTCTTAGTCATAGACTGACTAAACTTATATTATCAAGCTCGGGATGCAAAAAGATTGAAATTCAATCAATCCGTCGATTAATTTAATTAGTTAATGAAATTTTCTCTCTATTATCGGCTTCCCGCATAATATTTATACATGACGGCGCTTTGGACGTTATCATTTTTATTATTATTATTTCTATTAAATCGCATTTTTCATTGTATGATATTGCTTTCCCCTATTCCTTTCGTCCACGTTTTATTACATAACACTTTTTACATTTTCTTTGTTAGGTATTGTAAAATTAGAAAGTGAGAGATGTTCGGATCAGCGTTTTTGTTTTTAGTATTTTTTCCTATTTGTCTCTTCGATCATTATTTGGCAGAAGAGAAACACTTTACTTATAAATATATTCATCATCATCATCATCACCATCATTATAATAATAATAATAATAATAATAATAATAATAATAATAATAATAATAATAATAATAATAATAATAATAGTATTAGTAATAGTAAAGATAATAGACAAAATTTTGGACTTGTTTAAGTGTGTATATATATATACATCTCTCAACCTTAATAATTTTACCACTATTAATGTTCATAAATTTCACATTCACACTCATCATCAGACTATATACATAATTATATTTTTGCTTTATTCGGGTAATCAATTATTTCAAAGGACTTTTAAAAAAGAACTCTTAAAAAGAAGTCAATTCTTTTTCTTTTGAAAAGCACAAACAATTGTTAAATTTGATATATATTTTTGTTTTCTTGTGGCAATGATATTTTATATAAATAAGTTTATATGCTTTTTGAGACTAAAAAAGCTTTTGATATTATTTTCGTTTTCAGCAATAAAATTTTAAGCTGAATAAAATAATTTATGATTTCGTTTTTCACGTTGATTTTTAAATTTAATTAAATTGTATTATATAGAAAAAATCATATCTCCTTACTCATTCATACACACCATCACAATATCTTTACCGAGTTATTATTTTTAAATGTTAATATGTATGTATATATATATATATATATATATATATATATATATATATATAATATATATTTTTATTCAATTTTTTGATATTATTATTATTCAATTTGATGTGACGGGAACTCGAACACGACTTCCTTCCCTGTAATTTTCTTGTATACTGAGCTGAAGGTGTCAAGTTTGTATTCGAGAGACGTTGAATCCTTATTATCAAGGAACCTAATAAAAGCAAAGAAATCATTCTTCAATTTTTTTCACTTTGGAAAAAAGCTAATAGGCATGAAAACAAAAAACAGCATACACTTTTAAGATTTTGGTCCCGTCAACCTTAACACGGGTTCTCTTTCCGACAATTTCGGTAGGATATACCAAATCCTCCAAAATTTTTTCGTGAACGGATGTAAGAGTGCGGGATCGTGGACGGGGTTGCTTCACGCGAGATTTACGACCGGGTTTCCGCAAGATACGGCGATGTGCGATGAACACAATGTGTCGATCTGAAAATTTTTTCTCGAGTTCACGAGTGAGTCTTTATAATTGATGAGTTAAAATAAAGAGATTAAGTATTCCATTATTACTCTTTGATATGTGAACTACATCTGCCTAGTAGAATTCACCGTCTTGTGTGTGTAAACTAAAATAAAGGAAAAAAAATATTCTACCTTTGTTGAACTTTATGAAATTGTTTGAGTAACGGAACGGGAACATAGATAGCAATAGCTTTTTTGCCACTACCAAGTTCAAACTTTTGAATTAAATCATATCGATCAATTATTCAATTAATATATCAATTCATTATCACCAACGCCTTAACAATGCAAAGAAAAAAACAAACCAACAAACCTCTTTAGCGTAACAAAATTGTAACGGTCTCAAATCTTTTTTTAGCTCGGGAACATTACTCTCCAAATCGAAAAGCGCCTGAGCAATTTGTTGTTCCGTGTCATTCATTTCTTGTGGGAACCCTTTTGGTTTTGCGATTTTGTTTATTGGGGAAGCCATATTTTTGTTGTTTGCCCTCTCTATTTTCTAGTTATGTGATTTTTGAATTTCGGAAAATTTAGAACCGAGGACGAAGAATATTCCAAAGATCAATTATATGGATTTTTATTATCCATTGAATTATCCGTCCATCCATCCGTTAAATATCTCATTTAATCATCCGTCAAGAAAGATTTATTTTACTCACTTTAATATATTTATTGATCGGTTCTTTTAAAAAAATCAAACAGACCGTTTCGAAAAAATTCAATTTTTTGTGTGAATTATGATATCACGTGTAGTTAAATTATCGTTGTCAGATTTAGAGTTTGGAACCGGATTTATTTTAATATTAAAATCCGGATTAAATCCGAATTTTAATATTAAAAATAAATCCGGTTCCAAACTCTAGTCAGATTGACTAGGTAAAAATATTCACACAGGTCCTTATCTCATTTAGGAAAATAAAATCATTATGAGCTTTATATATCTCTTCCTCCTCCCCAATTTACATTAAACTAAGATAAATTTTTATAAATAACACCCCAGTACCAAATATTCTCACTATTCTATTATATTATACTTCAATATTAACTATTCCTCATCCCACCCAAAATACTATATCCAACTTCATTTTTGATCGCAAAGATTCCTTCTCCTGCTCAAATCGGATTACGCCAAAGCTTGAACTTCTACTTTACATACTGTACCAGACTTACAGTCAGAAACAGATCGGCGTCCATAAAGTCTTTTTATGATAGCATCTTCAAAGCCGTCTCCAGAAGGAATGGGATTTTCGCCGTCTTCAGCAACGACAATACCTGTCGTAATAATCGAAAGAAACAAAATCGCGAAGAGCAAGTAGAAAAACAGATTCTTTGTAGTCATTTCGTTTGTGCTGATTTTGTGTGTTACTTTTATGTGCGTTATCGTTATGCAACAAAAAATAATCATTAGCGTTAGGTGATTTCATAGATCATTACTATCGTTATCAGCCAATTGCGCCACTCTATTATACATATACTGTTTGCTGCGCCTGAGGACGAAATCTAGTTATTACTATTAGCATTAGACTAAGTTTATGTCGTGACTCGTTTCAGTTGAATTTGTTTGGTAAAAATGGAAAGGTTAGAATATTTCAAAGAATTGATTTAATAAGCACATTATTTGTACTTTGGTTAATGGCTTCCGTCAGATTTTCTTATTTACAAATCTCTTCGCTGAATAATGATTAACATTTGCAAGTATTGAATTTATTATGAGACACTTTATTAATGAAATAAATTTAAGAGTTACGTCACCCTGGTTTTATCAATTCGCAACCCTGTAAAATTATTTTTGAATTCATGCTAATTCAATTCATTAGAATTCGCCAAGTCATCAAAAACTACAAAAATGTTCATATTATACTATTATATATATAAAAATTGATTAATTTTTGGATTGTATATATATATATATATATGGGATGAATCAAGAATCCTTGCCCTGGCATCTCTGTATCTTCAACAACATGAGATTGATCATCATCATCACCTCCTGCCAACTTAAAATAAATAATGGGAAGATTTATCGTACTTTATAGTAGAAAAATTCAGAAAAAAAAAACAATGGTCACGAAAACTATATTAATGGTAATATTATTGGAGACTGCCACTCAACAAGAGTTCTACAGCAGCAGGAACATTTCCACCAGAAAGTAATAATGCTCTGATATTCTGTTGAGCATTCCAGAATCCCATCTCGTTCAATTGCTGAAGTTGAACCTGAAATCGTTCCTCTGGTGGTGCGGTACCACCACCACCAGCGGCTAATCCCCAAAGATCCAATAAAGGATTAGTTGAAGTTGAAGGTGGTATTGGGTTTGTTGTGCCTGCTGCCCCAGGCGCGGCAGCAGCATTTGGATTAAGTAGGCTGAGGAAAGGATTAATAGGAGCCGCGGCACCCGTTGATGATGTGGTGGTGGTCGAAAAGGTTGTTGATGTAGGTGTTGTAGTAGTAGTTCGTGTTGTATTAGTATTCGACGTGGGAGGAGTTGTCGTTGTTTCAGTAGTTTGCGTTGATGGAGTGTTGGTGGTGGTGGTGGTGGTGGGAGGTGTCATAGTAGTATTCCCAAAACCTAATCCGCCAAGATCTGAAAATCCACCAGTAAATGGACCTAAATTACCACCCATCAAAGAAGACATTGCTGCCATTTGCCTTAAAGCCTCCGGATTAGACAATAATGCTTGAAATTCAGGGTTTTGCATATATTGTCGTATTTGAGGAGCCATACTGCTCAATTGTGGACTCGCAGAAATCATACTCTCCAATAATTGTGGATCTCTTAGCATTTGACTCATCATTTGAACCATGGCTGGATTTTGAAGTATTGCATCCATCGGATTCACTCCACCTGTTCCTGCACCTAACCCAGCACTACCAAATCCTTGTCCAAGACCTCCAAATTGATTAAGGCCGAAGGCAGCAAACGGGTTACCGGGCGAAGTATTTGTTTGAGGGGTTGGTTGTGAGTTTACTGGAGGTGTTGTACGTGTTTGTTGTCCTCCTGACGACTGCGAAGAAGTACCTTTAGGAAATTAAATTTTCAAGTCAATTTAAGAGTTCATTTTTGTACTCTCAGAGTACAAAACATGTCCATTTATTGTTTAGAGAAGAAATGGATTTTAAGCCAGTATACGTTACCCCCAGGTGCAGAGCCTTTTACCATATGAACAGTTTGGCCGTCTGCAATTTTATAAGTATCCAACGTATCAGCATCTTTCAATACTTTCCCAGAATAAATCAATCGTTGCCGCTCTGCAGGAGTGTCACTTTTTGCTGCAATCGCTTGTTTAAATTCAAGCACTGTTTTAGAGGGGTCAATTGTCACCGAATACTTTGTGTCGTTGGAGCATTTTACAGTAATTGTAATTTCTAACATTTTGGCAACACACAAATTCTTGGGAAAAGATAAGTCGTCAACGTTTTGTGTAAAATTCTGTTTTATCTTGATCATTAGGGAAATGACGTTACATGTACTACGGAATAGTCTAGATCCATTTGTGCTATCATATAAAATTTACATGTACAAGAAACTAGTAATAATAATGATGATGGTGATCTCACGATATTTTAAACACTTAAATCTTGTCTGCAAGCCATGTTTTCCATTGATCAAGGGTCCATCCAGAACTCACATTATTATCCACCAGGCCATCCCAAAGCACTGTAGGAGAAACATGAATGCCTTCCTGACGACCTAACTTGATATGTATTTTCAGATCATTGGTGACCTTGTTGCCTACATTACGGGCTGTCGAAGAATCATCGGTAGAAGAAATATGCAACTGTTCGAGGAAATCGGAAGGGGAAATTCCAACTGATTCCGCGAGTTTTGCAAGCTTCTTGTTAATTTGATTGCGATTTAGTTCTTGGACTGATTCATCAAAGTAACTACGCGTTTTTTTTTCCAATAAATTTAAACGAGGATTGAAACGAGGATTGATTATGAATATTATAAAATGATCAAAAAAAAATTCTTACTCTTTTTGGGACTCGAATAACTTTGCAGAGAATTCAAAGAACTTGGTCTTGTCGATTTTCTCAACAGCCAATGCAGCCTTTTCGATTAAATTATATTCACATATGTAAGACTTAATTCATAAAAGAAAAGATATTTTAACCTATTAATGTACCTCATGAACTATGGTTGAAGAAGGATGCCAAGGTTGAACTTGTTGACGAAGGATGAATTGAACTTTGTTTGGATGTTCCGAGTCAAGGTAAGGAAAAACTTCCTAAAAATTAGTAATATCGATGAATTTAAATTGCAACATAACAGCAGTAAAGGTGTCAGTTTATTTACTTTATAGAGTCTTTGAAAAATTCTCGCCGAGAAGGGACACTAATGGTATTATTGTTTAATTAGATAAACCTTAACTTATTATGGTCTAGAACAGGATAAAGCTTAAGGCGCACCACATAGTCTAAATAGACTTCCAAGTAGTGAGCTGCCTGAATTGAGCCGTAACGATGACCTATTCAACACAAAATACCACGTGGAGTGTATTTTAATATTTATAAAATGGCTAACAAGGTTATTTTGTTTTCTTCGCTTATACGCTTAAAAACTATGCTAGCTTTGCAGCTAAAGCCACGAATGCCTTAAAAAGATAAATTCCCTGAAAGCTCTTGAATAACTCAAGTTCTCCTTACTCTTGAATGCATCAATTACTTACCAGAGTAATTGGGTGCAAGGGCCATTTTTGCATATTTCAACCATCTAAGAATTGATTGATTTTATGCTGTATGACGATTATATGATGATAAAAATTTACTTTTTCCCATTTTGGATTAGGAATGGACAATAGTAGAACTTATACTAACAACTGGCCATCACTTTTTTGGCCACCTTTTAGTCAAGGAGGATATGCTCTGGTTTTAGAATCTCCAGGTAGTTACTAAGCAAAAATATGTATTATTCCATATCTCGACTTATTTTTGCCAATATCTTTCTGTATTTCATTCGAAAATAGATGTCTGGCGTTTTACAGTTATATGGACACTTATATTCTATGCTGTGATATATGGAGCGGCAGGTTTATGGGCTTGGGCGGTATTTTACCGATCGCGGTGGTCTTTTATGTTGCCTATAATATTTGTAGCGGTTGCCTTGTTAACGGGACTCGTTGGCGGAACAATAGTTGGTAAATATAAGATATTCAAGATAGTTTGGACTACATTTGTTACAATTTGAATAACAAATCCACAATATATTATAGGTTATGCGCTTAAATTTTTTTATCAGGCCGGAGAGTTCAATATGTCAACATGGGTTCCTTTTTTGTGGGGATTAACTCAAGCGTTGGTTGCAGTGATGGGTTCTTATTCTACAGTAACAACCATTCTCTGATTGGGGATCTTTCATTGCAAAGACTATGCAAAGAGAGGAAGCTGATTCGAAGCATGAAATCAGGAGCCGAGCCAAGTGTTGATCTTGAAATAATTGCCAAGACGTATTTATTTTCAGTAGCTGGTTCGCACTCTTTTTCTATGCTATTCATTATTTCGAACTATGAGAGAGTATTGAGATTGTGCTTCAATTTATCTGCATCTTAAAAATCATGATTTATTTAATTTTCAAAATGAAGAAAATCCCTCATTGTCAGTGATTTCTTGACACCAATCTCGGGACATCCGGATATTTTTTCAGCCAGCATATAACATCTGATCACCTGAATTTTGTCAAAATAAAGATTTAATCATTTTCGAATTGTCGCGTATAATATTTGATCTGGTGACCAAACAAAAATTCGATTATTAAATTAAACTATTTTTCTAGGGTTGAAAACTTGGCAATGATGTTTATCCCCGCATGAAAAGAGGGAGAGTGAAGAGAAAGGAGTAATGAATAATGAATCGATTATTTTGAAAATAATACAAAAATGTCTGTGAAATGATCAATTTCTTTTGTGTAGCCAGATATCACATCTGATATCTTTAGACCACCAACTCTCTGCAGTCCAGGACTCAATGGGACAAATTCGAGTTGGAAATCAACAACATTATCTGGTGCCAATTCCCCCAGATTTTTAGCAGACGGACCACTTAACAATACTGATCCCATTTTATTTTTTACGGCGGTCACCACCACTTTGAGCATAGAAGTGGTGCGATTTCTGATTCGGCATCCTAATGTGAATGGTGTCTCAAGTATAATTGATGTGGGTATCGTCGTAACAGACAGTTCAATCTCTTCCAAAATGGGTGGTTTACGTGTTAATTGACTTGTTTGTAGTCTGCCTGTCTCACCTGAATTAGCTCGCCATACGATATCAAGCTTCCCTAGTGCATTAGTTGTTCTTGTGAGACGTTCTTCTATTCCGGGTTTTGGAATTAACATGTATAAATATTGTCGAATATCTTGAGGATTTAAATAATTCTCAACTCCAAATATGTTTTCAGGCTTTTTTTCTTCTTTGACACTTTCTTCCAGTGATTTCTCTGAATTTTGTGTATCCTCCTTGTCATTGATATCATCAATTTCTTTTCTGGTCGATTCAAGTTGTTTTTCTGCCACGGACATTACTTCCATCCCATTGTTATCAACTACATAATTAAGATCTTTGAATCCAAATACATCCCCCGACTCAAATTTCATTCTTTCGAGATACATTTCTCGTTCTGCCACATTTTGTACCTGCACCTCCAAAAAAACTTTCCCATCAGCCATATTGTTCACTTTTGTCTTCACTGCCAATGGATTCATCACTTGAAATCGATATACCCGTCGAATACTTCTCTTTTCCCCCTCGTTGGTTAAATACGTCACCAAACAGACGAAGGCATGAACACCCAATTCTTTTATTTCGTGCTGTATTACACATTCTGTGGACTTGTTGGGTTCGAGGGTGGGTAAAGTTTCGACCGTTGTGTCTGTGAGCGAAAATCGTTGTGTGTTGGTATGTATCTCTGCTTTTACGCTAATTTCACGTGTAGAAAATATAGAATCGTTTGATACACGTACTAAACTGCCAAAAGTTTCTCCAAGATACACATTTCCGAAAGTGTCTTTAGCACTCCCAGGCTCTGACTCTGTTGGTTCTGTGAGTATTGCTGAACCTCTATTATTATTGTTGTTGTTGTTGTTGTTGTTGTTGTTGTTAGTGTCTGCTGGGGTAAGTGAGGAATTTGGTATTCGCATAACCTTAAGTGATAAAAGGTGTGGTTCGCGTGATTGATCCATGTTTTGCGCGGAAGACAGATGTGAGGCTGAATTTTGCTTTCAACTAGCAAAAATACACTCGGAAAAATAAGCATCTCGAGAATTTCCATTGATGATCGACGAGTAAATATAATTCGCTTATTCCCTTGATATTTAATCATTCAATAACGTTAAAAGAATTCCAGATATATAATTCATTCAATAAAGAAGCAATGTCTGACGACGAAGGTGCCTCTAACAGTAAGTTTCTCTTTGCTCTTTCCTACTAAGCATATACGTCGTCTTGGTTTTCTCAAAGGTGTAGCCTCTTCTTTGTTAGATTTTTTTTTCATTTGTTTTCTCTTAATCACTAAAGGCCATTTTTCCTTTCCTTATAAAAAAAGATGAACTTCTTATAGTGGCAGCGAAACAAGACTCCGAAGATATACTGGAGGATATTTTCTCCCAACCAGAAACATATGACATAAACCATGTTGATAGTGTAGGAAATACCGCGTTGCATTACGCGTAGGCATTATTCTTTATATTAATTTTGCTTTAATTGTATAATGTACTTATCTGAAATATAAGTATAAATTAAATTCTTTTAAACATGTATTCAAGAGCTCAATTCGGTTCTTTAACTGCAGCTGAATTGCTATTAAAACAGCCAAATATCAAACTTGATATAGCGAATAAATTGGAAGGAGACACACCGTTACATAAAGCAGTTCAGTATGAAGACGCTAACGTATCGTTGGAAATTGGTATGTGTACATATCGATTTTTTTCGAAAAATGGGCAAGAATTAACGCGAGTTTTTTGTGAATGAATCGAATGAATTCATAAATAATATTGACCACATTAATTTTTTATCTCATAGTAAAATTGTTAATTGAAGCGGGAGCAGACACAACGTACGTATTTCAATTCAACTTTATACTTTGAGCGTAATTTATTCTCATAATTACTGTGCTTTTCTAACATTGATAAGGAATCTAATCAATTTTTTACCAAAGAAAACGAAATAAAAATAGACAGAAACCCGAAGATTTAGTTAAACCAGATTCTCAACAATTAAAGACTTTGTTACAAAAAGCATCGATGGCTCTTCAAGTGGTATTTGAAGAATAGTACAAATTGACATGTTTTGATTAGTTATCACTTGGGATTTTTTTGATTTAGTATCCCTTAAATTCTTTACGATTAGGACGCGAGAGATATAGCAGCTGAAGATTCAGATGACGATGGCGAATCGGCAAGTGGTTCTGATTGAATGGTATTGTGGAAAATTTATAAATGTAAGAAACATGAATTCCAAAAGCAAACAAGAAATGTTTTGGCTTTCTTTTAATTTTTATATTTTCTTTAGGTTCGGTTTACAAAATATTTAATTAAGGATATAGAATGCTGAATTTGTATAGTAATTGGTAAATTAATAAAACTATTCGTTTTTCATGCTATATTAAAAATAAGCCAAAAACAGTCCGTGTCAATAAGTCAATAATAACGATAAAAATGACTCATACTTTATTTGTTTGATAGCGATCCGATACCGCAAGTTGCATAATGTAAATCTTTCTACCTTGCCAATTTTGTCTAATTAAATGACGTCAATTTTTTGATAGCATATATTGATACGTATAAATAAATACGTAATAAAATAGTGCTTTCAGCCTTAGTGATTTTCGATTAGCCAATGAGAAGTTAAATTTAGTACCGTGTTTCCAAAAAAAAACACTGAGCATTTGCAGCCCGATACCATAAAATCAATGATGTCCAATAAAAAACAAAAATTTATTTTATATGAATTCTCAAGAAAGACTTATTCTATCCATCATATTCACGAATTAAAAGACCAAGTATCGAGTGCATACAGGTCAAGGCAGGAGTTCATTATATTAGGCCTTTATAAACAAGAATCTTTTGTATCAATTTTGCCAAGAGAAGTTTAAACACAAAATCATAGATTAGAAAAAAAATGAAGACTGAAACTATACATTATTATATTGGCAATTTTGCAATATGAACTCAAACTATATAATTCTTAATTGACAATAGCAAAATAATCTTTGGCTAGATTCTAAAAAGTTTCCATTAAAAAATCTTGCCAAGCAAAGTATCAATTGAGTTGTAATGGATCAAGTATATTTTTTTTCAACAATAATTAATGGGATCAATCTGATAGAATATTTGATAAATGGACATATTGATTCTTTTGGTTTATTAAAAGTATTGCAAAATGAAGCAATTTATTCTATGATTTTGTCAAACATCGAATTCGTTCATCTAAGGAACATTTAATTTGATATGATCCAAAGATCCAAGAAGCAATTTTCTTGGTCTAGATTTATGTATTTAATAAATTATGTGATCGGCAATTTATGGGTCCAATAGAAGCTTGACTCAATAAGAATATGAAATAAAGCTAGAATTTATGGGAAATCCTCATGGGACTACGTTTGTGATTGTTATGATGTCGCACAAACCAAATCTACCAACAGTTTCTATGTGTAACTACTACTACTGCTATAAACAACAACAAATAGAGTTTCAAACACGATTTTTCGTCCTTGGAAAAAAAGAGATTTTGTCTCTTCTTTTATTGTCATTCTCTCTTTTTCTCGCTATTATATATTGAAAAATTCTACTTTCCGATTCCTCCCACTACTTACAGTCTTTTTTCCAAAGAAATTTAATCAATTAATCGATTAATTAATTAATTAATTAGTTGATTATATAATTATATAATTATATAATTAATTATCAATTTCAAAAATTTCCAAGATACATAATTTTTTCTGCATCTTATACACACACACATATATATATACACTGATTACATTTTACTTTTGAAATTGAAATTAATAAATAATTCTATAAAAGCTTGCAAAATAGTATTTCAAAGTTCTCATTTTGTTAATAATAGGTATTATAAAAGCTGAATCTTGACGACTCTATATTTCACTATTTTTTTAAGAGTATACAAAGTAATCAAATTAAAAGTTTAAAATTAAAAGAGATAAATCACCAAAATGTCACCAGCACCATCAGTCCTTGTTATCGGCGGAGTTGGCTTTATCGGTCGTCATGTGGTAACTTATTTGGTCGAGAATAGTTTGGCGTCGGAAATAAGAGTGGTTGATAAGGTGTTGCCACATACTGCATTCTTCAACAAGCGACAGAGAGATGCTTTTGAAAAAGTAGAATACATACAGAAGAATATGGCTGATCAAGGTATATATCTTTTATATATATAACCGTATCTAATTTACGTAAGATCTCTATTAATTTGAATTGGGAATAAATCATCAAATCTACAAAATAAAGCTTCGATAGAACTCGCATACACAAGAGAGGATGGAAGTTCTTTTGATTTCGTGTTCAACGTTGCAGCCGAAACTAAATATTCCATGAACGAACGGGTATCGATGATTTTCATTCATTCGCGTCACGAAAATTCGCGTTTCGAAATCATTATAATCAAATTAACCGACAAACTCTATTTGTACATGGATTTTATTATCATGATCCATATAGTTTTACGAAGAACGTATCTTCCTTCTTTCAACCCGAAATGCAAAGGAAGCAGCGAAACGTAAGGTGAAATGCTTTGTTGAAGTTTCTACTGCGGAAATGTATCAATCGGATAAGGTGAGAATTAATTGCATGCGTGCATTTACGCTTATAATTAATTATAATATTTTTTATTTAATCGATTAGAAGCCTAGTAAGGAGGACGCAAAAATCAAGCCATGGACTACTATTGCTGCATACAAGTATCGAGCTGAAGAAGAGCTTAAAAAGATCCCTGGGTAAATAAAAAAAATTAAACATCAAGGTCGAGTAATGTTTAGTGCTAAATGATATATGTATTAATTGGTTGATTATCAATCTATAAAGTTTAAACCTTGTGATTATGAGACCTTCCATGGTTTATGGTGAGGGAGCTACAGGTGGATTAGGTAAGTTATTGTATGTTACGACATATGTCGTAACTCTCTGAGGATCATATGTCTGCACCCTTGCTTTTGACATTGAGTCAATTGATTAATTTTTCGCAATGCTCTCTCTAATAAATTATAGCATCACGTCTGGTCTGTGGTCGTATTTACAAACACCTAGACGAAGAAATGAAATGTTTGTGGTCCAAAGATTTAAAAATTAATACGGTACATGTCTTGGATGTGGCTCGTGCTATTTGGCATGTGGCCGTATGGTATCGTGATAATGATAAGACTGGAAAAGGACCTTTTGTATATAATTTATCGGATTCTGGAAGTACAGGTAAAATCCAAATTCACTAAAATAAATTAACAAAATTAAATTAATGGTTAGATTTAAAAAAAATCAGATCAAGCAAAAATAAACGCGCTCATCAGTCAAACATTCGGAATAAAAACCGGATACCACGGAAGCAGTATCGATACCCTCGCCCAAGTCAATCCTGACGGTGCTACCGACGAAGTCAACGACAAACACGTAGGCCCGTGGGCAGAACTTATCAACAAATCCGGAATAAAAGTGACACCGCTTACTCCGTACGTTGACCAAGAACTTTTGTCTAATAATGCGCTGTCGATTGATGGAACAAAGATTGTCGCGGAGACTGGGTTCACGTATCAAGTTCCTGAAGTTACCGTTGAAAAATTGCAGGAGATAATCGATGACTTCAAGTTGAATAATTTGTGGCCGAAAGATTCGATATGAGATTGTTTTTATTCATTTTTTAATTATTTTAATTATTGTTAATTGTTATTATATATATTTATTATAAAAATATATAAAATACGATAAAAATCTTTAATATCTTTAATATCTACATATAAAAAATGTGTAAAATAAATACATATATTATTAATTAATAGTGTTTGTCTATTTTAATTAGTCTTATTTATTTCAGAGTTTATTTTTTGTATTATCAATCTTGAATATTTAATCGCAAGAAATTTCAAAGGAGTCAATCGGGTCATGTTATCCGTTGATCCATACATATATATTTTGTATAAGGACTGGAGTATTTAAATCAAATTGATACAATTTCCCAACTAATTATGATCGAGCAAATTGTATCAGGTGGACAAACAGGAATCGATCGCGCAGCATTGGACATCGCAATTGAACTGAAAATTTCGCACGGTGGATGGTGTCCCAAAGGTCGAAAAGCCGAGGATGGAATTATTCCACAATGCTATCAACTACGAGAAACGGATTCTGATAATTATAGTGAACGAACAAAATTAAATGTAAAGGACTCTGATGGCACATTGATCCTTATCCCTGGCTCTACTGCCGTTATCACTGGTACTGCCTTAACTATTCAAGAAGCTCAAGCTAAGGAAAAACCATGCTTGATTGTTGACTTATCTAAAGAATTGGATGATAATCTTCTGGGTAGATGGATAAAAGAGAATAATATTAAAGTACTTAATATAGCGGGGCCGCGCGAATCTTCTAGTTCGGGTATATATCAATTAGGTTTCCAGTTTCTTAAAAATTCTCTACCCTCTCTGGTTAATTATCACTATTGTGGGGGATCATGATGAAAAACGGATTATGATGAAAATTTGCAATATCTATTATAATAAATTATAAATAACAATTATACTAATAAATTTATATAGTATTTAGCAATATAAACATTATTGCAAAATTAATTTATATATTTTATGCATATATCATTATTTTCAAAATATCACTCTTTTATTATAAGAAATTGTCGATAATTCCGGCCAAATTATCCCATGATCTGCACAATTTTGGCCAAAATTTTCACCATAATCCGTTTTTCATCATAATCTCCCACATTTTATAGTACTTTACAAATATAGTTAGCGATTAATCTATACTTTATTGGCATTATGTCTATTAACATTTGCACAATTAAATAAACAATTCATGAATGTAAATTCATATATTATCTCATTGTTTAGGATTAAACATTATCGCTGTTATAATTATTGAAACGGTATCATGACTAATTTATAGTCACTTAATTGATTATTCACCAAGTCGCATAGTCACATTTAAATTTAGATGGTGTTGTATTAAGGAGTTCTTAATATTTTTGATAGTAACAAAGGCGGCTGCTGCTGCTGCTGCCTTTTGTTGATGTTTCGGGAATTCGTTGATCTGTGGAAAAGGAAATGTTGTGTTCATTGTCATCAAATGGATCATTACTATTAAAAGAATAACTTGTCAATCCATATTCGTAGTCTGGTTCTTTCTTATTGTTAACTGAGTTGTTTGTCAATCCATATACGTAGTCTTGTTCTTGCTTGACGAAGATCCTTTCGGGGGAATCGACAGGATCATCGGTGATAATCAAGGAATTCAAATCTTCTTGGTATTCCTCAGCAATTGGACTTGGTATAGGACTGAACGCACCACGATTTCCAATATTGCAACATGATGATGACGAAGATTCCATAACTCGTTGGCTACAAGGATTATCAAATGTATTATTATTGGTTGTAATGGTTGTCATAGAATACTGGATGGTCCTGATGTAGTTTAGGTAACTTTCAATTTCTTTGTCGTAATTTTTTCTATCTAAGTCAGCCATTTGTAAAAATGGTGCACGTTCTTCCGCGGTCATCTGTTTCCATTCACACAAGAATTCCGGTATAACTTCGTCTTTATCTATGCTCAAAGGAGTTGTTTGTAAACGAATGTCACTCACTATCCGATTGGACACGAATAACACGAATGGATCAAGCGGCAAACGTGGTGGCAAGATGAGTTCATTCTCTGTCTCGAAAGTAGCAGTAAATGATGATGATGATGATAACGGTGGTGATGATAACGGTGATGATAATGATGACATATATAGTAATTTATCGTCTTCATTGCTTTCCCAGAGTCTTGCTTTTTTGTTTGGATATATAGAATGTTTAGACTCGTATAATTCATTTTTTACTGCTTTGGCACGGAGAATAAATGCATTTTGTTGTTCCTAATAGTGAATGATTTTTTTAGTACGCGTTTTCTTAACAATAAAACGCGTCAAATTATACACCATTTTATTTCGGGGTGAAATAAAGAAAAGCAATAAGTAAACAAACCTTTGACAGTCCTGTCCAACTATCGTCAATTTTTCGTGACAAATCCTTAGTTGTCATTAATGGTGTTGAATTCAAAATATTCAAACGTATCAGTTCGTTATGATACCAATATCCTTCCATTATTTCGTCCAAACGTTTTTCATCCATTATAATATTCTCGAACGTGTTATTTCGTAATGAAGAGATAATGATAACTTGTTCAATTTTCAGTTAATAACGATAAAAATTGGTAGAAAATTTAAGACGTGACACTAACAGCAAAGCAACCGATTCTCATGTGATCATGCTCTTTAATCTTAAATATAGAAATGGAATTTTAAATTATGAAAATCGATAATTTCTGTGAATTCTTTGTCATCAACTTTTAGATTCAATCACATTAACCTTAATCGAAACATATCCACATTAAATAATAATAATATAATACATATTTATATCAATCTATAATTAAAAATAAACCCATTCAATAAATTAATAAATAAAGACTTAATCAGTAGTATCTTTCAAAATATCGGTCGCTTGTCTGAGTTCTTCTGTTTCAGCCCATGATGAACCCTGATTATCCTATAATGATAATGATAATTATTTAATTATTCAATTTTTACTGCAAACTTCAACATAATAAAACGTAAAAGATCGAATTAGTTACAATCAATCCTTGTAATTTTCGTCTGGCTGCCTCGAGGCGTGTTTGCGTATCAGGGATCATTTGCAACGTCTCTTCCAAGACCTCGTTCTATTAATATCATTAAAGCTTAATCGTTAAATGCGAAACCTTTATCATATCCAACTGAAAAATCAAAAATACCTGTTTGGCAATATCATAAGAGTCAGCACCTTCCGCTGTTATTCTTTCAATTCTTTGTATTTGTTGTTCACGCTCTTTAATATAAGACTGTTTTTCTTTATAAAGTCTTTTTATGAATTGAATTTTGATATGATATGGTATATTTTAATATGGCTTATTTCGACATAAAGTATTTCGCAGCTTGACTTTTTTAAAAGTTAAATTTGCTCTTTTCGCTACAAACCTTTTAACAACACCGGTTTGTATTTTAAGTTCTCTTAATGACATTTTATCGTTGTGTTTCCTTTTGAACAAGATATATCAATATCGATATTAATGCGGAGTATTATAACGCGAAATATTTGTGGCGTAGGTTCATGAGCTTCGTGAGTCACAGTGAAGTGGCTTGAAGTTATTAATATTATTTTGCGTTTTGCGTGTGTGCGTTGTTATTTCGTTCATCAATATGACTGGTCCTCGTGATTTAAACATTCAAATTGAGAGTTTAGTAACTAGGCTTCGAAGAAGGTATTCTATAGTATAGTAGTAACCATTGGATAAGAGTTTAAAGGTCATTTATATAATGAGACATTAACTCGTTTCTTGCTTTTTCAGACAGGTGGTTGGATCTTTTTCCGTGTCTCTAGAAACGGCCTTGCTTCTGAGACAAGTGGTATCGAATACTAGGTGGAGGGAAGTCGAATACTTGATAAAACTGGTCAAAGATGTTGGCAATAAACTTGTTCTAGCTCAACCGCGCGGTAACTCGTTTTTCATCATATAACTAAATACCTGATTTACCTAAGTTTCACTTCGTATTAACGCGAATATAATGCTTCATTTATTATCATTATTAGAACTTGCTGTTGGAAATATAGTTCGTCGTGTTTTAAGATTAATTCGAGATTGTTGCAATTCCGATGGGGATGACAATTTTAGTATCAGCGATAGTCCCGTTTCTGGCATTGAGAATGACGAATTAAATGACGAAGACGATGAATTTGAGGAGGAAGAAAGGCCTAAACGGTCGTACGCCCAACGTCAATTAAGTTTCTATGATGGTGGATCAGGATCGAGATTTTTTGGATCGAGTTCTTCAATGATCAATTTATTGGGTGATAATACAATTCCTGGAAAGAAAAATTCATTGGATTATGAGAAGGGTTCCAATATCCTTTTTATTTTTTTTTTTATGTTTGATTTGTTGTTATTGACGAAAAAAAAGACTTGACTCTTGAATTTATCGTTGTTTCTTATCTTACATCTGAAGTCAAGCATTATTTCTGAATTAAACGAGATGATTAATGAATTGGAAAATATGTATGCCAATATATCTGATCAAGCCATGGAACATATACACTCAAAGTAAGAAAATATGAATTTGTCGACCATTTAAACAAAAATCTCTGATGCTAATGTATTTATTATTCAATCACCAGTGAAATAATAATGACGATTGGAAAGTCTAAAACAGTTGAAACATTCTTGAAAACTGCGGCTAAAAAATTAAAATTTCAAGTAGTGGTCGCTGAAACTTCACCAACGTAAAGTCTCAAATGTTGTAATGTATCGACATTTTCTTATCATTATTTTGATCCCCTTTTTCTTTCTTACTTCTATATGCTTGTTGTGTGAAATTCATCATGTGACTTGTTCAAACGCAAAACACCAATAGCTATAGTGGTCATGAAATGGCTTTGTCGCTTTCTCAAGCTGGTATCGATACAACAGTGATTACGGATTCAGCTATATTTGCTGTCATGTCAAGAGTAAATAAAGTTATATTAGGAATTCATGCCGGTAAGTCATTTAGCTTTTATAAACTGTGAGTTATTGTGGTAGGAGAACCAGGTGAAGTATATGTAGAAATTACGATCAAGCCGAAGATTCTCGTATGAAATAATTTGTTAGTAAATTCGATACACGATTTTTAATTATTGACTTGTTCCTTTTCTTCTCGTTTATAATCACAAAGTCCTGGCAAATGGCGGGCTTATAGCCGTAAGTGGCACACAAATGGTCGCAGCCGCCGCAAAATATCATTCAACCCCTGTAGTTGTTTGTACTGGACTGTACAAATTATCCCCTTTATATCCATACGACGAAGACTCGTTTAACGATTTAGCAGCACCAGACTCGGTATTGAATTTTGATCAAGGTAAAAAACATAATAGAATAAATTATTTCGATTTCTCAAAGTAAATACTTTTTCTAAGCAATAATATTCATAACACAGGTGAGTTGGTAGATAATGTCACCCTATTGAATCCCTATTATGATTATGTTAAGCCAGAACACGTCAATTTATTTATTACAAATACGTGAGTCATTATATATTTTACTCAATTTCGTGAATTATCTTTACTTGATTTGTAATTAAAATTGAATTCTCTTCTTACATATAGTGGAGGTCATCCTCCTTCCTATTTATATCGTCTAATCAACGAAAATTACGATCCCGAGGATACTGTGATATAAGTTGATGATTAAGGAAATCCATATTTAGACTGCTTATAATTTATTAGGTTATAAAGAAGCTAATCTTTTAGACCTATCGTCAAATTTCTAATATACATATATGTACATGATAAAATTGTGGGTGTCTTTATATTTAAAAATTTATCTGCATTATCGATCATAGTGGTATATAACGAACGAACGAAACAGTATAGTTTTATACTATAACTCGCTTAAGTTCAAATGTCAACATTAAATGAGAGTACTGTAAACCATACTATCAAAATTACGAGTTCGAGTCCTATATATTTAACGAAAATAATCCTAGAAATGATATTAGTGTTAGTGAAAGTGAAAGCGAGTCTGATTCGTGCGATTCTGACGATTTGAAAAACACGCTTGATATTTCATTTGATGAATTTATCCAAGCTGAAAGTATTCAAAATGATTATAGAAATATGGTGCGAGCAGTCTAAAGACATCAAATACTTTGAACTGCAAAGGAATTTATTTTAAATATATAATCATTAAAATAAATACATTATTTAATAGCCTTTAATATAATCTATAATATTATGTATTTTTTTTATTTATTTTTATTGTAGAAATTATTTGTATAGTGAAACCTCTCTAAGTGCACCCCCTCGGGATCATAGTAAAAAACAGGTAGTGAAGGATGTGTATTTACAGAAAGTAAAATATATTTTATAAGTTGGAACCAAGCCATATCATGTATTTAGAGAGAATTTATATAGTGCATGCATTTATAAAGGAGAGGTTTCAACATTAATTTTAATAATAATAATAAGCTTTTCAGCATCTAAAATATCATGTGTATTATTTTTGATTGGCTGAATTTCATCATGCAAAATTACATGATAATTTTTTATGCAAAATTTTAATCAGCATTGCATATAATAACTTATTTGAAAATGATAATTTTTCAAAAAATTCAATAATGATACAATATTTGATATCTTTAAGCTATTTATATTATACAAAATAATAAATTAATCTAATCTTTATATATAAGAATATTTAAAAATAACTAATAGCAATTATATTGTTGTGATATGAATTTTAACATATCACATAACTTTTTATAGTTAATTTTCATTTGATAATTGATTTATAAATCATATCCATATTTATTTTATATTATCTATATTTATTTCATACTATTTTTATAACATTTCATTCTATTTCTATTTTATTTCATACTATTATCATTTTATTTCATA